GCGGTTTTTACCGGCGGCATTTAAACCGCCGGAAAATGCCCAATTTCCGCCGGAAATGAGTGATTTTCCTGTAGTGCATGTTGTAGTGGTAGTGATGATCATCAAAGTTCACATCAGATAAAGCTTTATAGTTCTTCATATCTCAAAGATATCTTTTAAATTATGTTCATATCTCTTTCTTTGTGGAGAATAGGAGTCTATTTATAATATTTTTTAAGTGGCATTTCGATAAATTTAGTCAATATTATCTAACATTTCATCAGATGAATCATATCTAATCTTTAAATCATGAATCATTTATTCAATATTTTAAGTATTTTAATGACATTACATTGAGTGATCTTGGGCTTATCGAATTCATCTCATTTAGCCGCTTGATTTGACTATAAACATATAAAAATTGAAGATCATTTAATCCTTTATTTAGTGCTATGAAGTTTTCAACCTTGTATTAATCGATTAAGGCTCATTTGAACTCAAATCAACTCACATTTATTATCATAGTTGTCATCATGTCCAATCACTTAATTTGACGATAATTTTGTTAAAATTGGAGTATGTATGATTTTGAATTTAATTTCAAATTTTTTTAATATAAATAGTGCATCAATATTCGTTCCAATCAAGTGAAATTTAAAATCACATATATTATACAAACTACAAAAACCTACAATTACTCATCTTTTGATGTTCTTGTTGAATGTTGTCAAATACCATCCAATAATTGACTTATTACATCTATTTGTTCGATCATGCAATCCATTTTTAACTAAGGCTTTGTTTGAGATAGCTTTATTATTGCTTTTTAAAACATTTTTTTGGTACAAATATTCCTAGCTCAAAAAAAATTTCTTAATAAAAATCTGCTTCAGAAAGAAGTATTAAAATAGTTCCAAACGAAGCCAGAGTCATGCCTTCTAATATATCCCCTTCAAAAAATTTCATAAAATCTCCTCTCTTATGTTTTACTCTTAGTTTATTTATATGTGTAAGATATTCATAAAATCCTAAGTCATTGTTTTATTTTTGTCTATTCAAATATTTAAATACACAAAAGTAATTATTAAACTTTTGCGTATGAGTTAATTACTAATTTAGTACAAATATAAATAAATAGTACAAAGTCACAGGCTTAAAATTGATAAAATCAATTGAATTTATGATTATTATAAAGAAGATAATGTGATGTTAGATTGATAGATTAAATTAGTAGTAAATGATTATGAAACATAATAAATAAACATAAATCATATATGGTTAGTAGTTGTTCACCCAATCCAAGTAATTGATATCATAGATCAAATTTGAACTCATTATTTATATGAAAAAAAAATAATATTATATATTTATATATATGACTTAATTTCAATAATTAGTTTGATATGCTGTCCATTATTATTTTTTAAATAATGTCTTATGTATTTTTTTTAATTTTTTATAATCACTATGATTAAAAAACTAAATGGGCTATTTAGGCTATGTTTGGGATGGCTTTCTTACTGCTTCTTAAAGCGGCTTTTTAGTATAAAAATTTTATTTTTTTTACTAGAAAACAGCTTTATAAAATAGGAAGAAAGCCGTCCCAAATGAAGCCTTAATCTGTTGAAAAACGTAACGTGGACATTTTGAAATTTGGATGGTTGATATGATAAAAAAAAAGTAATGATGTCTAAAATTTTATGATCTGTTTTTAAAGATTGTCATTTTCTATAAAATAGTTGTGGGAATAATAATAGCTTTTTTGAAAGCTGTTATAAATATTAATTTTGTAACGCATAATTTTTTTTTAAAACAACGAGAACTATGATTGTAGTCTAAAAAACAAAGCTCAAACATAGTTATCACAAATAGACAACTTATTTCTTTCTCTCTCAAGTTCATTGTTATGTATTGAAAACTAATCTAATTTAGATTGAATTCATTTTCACTACAAACTAACTGCGCTATTAATGTACGTCGTCACCACCACCTCCACTGCCCACCGCTTATGCCATCAGCCCCCAACTGGCTGCCGCCACTGACCATCATCATCGCCATCGCCACTACGAACTGACATAGCCAATCGTCGCCCACCAGTGCAGCCGCTAGCCACCACCGTCACCGGCCATCATATCATTTAACTTTACATTACAATCTTTTTTCTTAAAATCCAAAAAAAAAATCTTAACTGACAAAAAGATTAATCTTCCACTAAATAATATTATCATCTGACTACAAATTATTTTATTTTATATGTCGGCAATCATCTGGCAGAACAATACACATCCAGCGATGATTCATCCCTTCCCAAACCCAATCAAAACCCTAAATTATTTTTCTTATTTTTTTATATTTTAACCAACAATAAGAAAATCTTAGAATTTCAAATAAATATTTTCGTGCTTTTTATAGAAAAAAAAATATTATCATGTAGATTTTATGCGATGCGATCATGTGCCAACACGTGCGCATGGATGTGATGGTGGGAGTTGTGAGTCAACATTATTAGAAACCGGAGATGTCACACGAGTATTGGTTTAGATATAATTCAATTCGTATTATATAATCATCAAAGTTCTACGTGTTAGAACTATATCTTTGCATAACAATTTTGTGTCCAAATCGCTAATATTGAACATGAGCTATTAACTATGTATTGATGTGTATTAGTTACGTATTAAATAGTACACAGTGATACATAGCTTATTCTGGGGGTGTTGACTGTTGACCTTTCGACCTGATCGGATATATCGAACCCTACCAAGGGGCTCTGATCCCTTGGATCTCTGATATATTTGTGAAGCGTACGATAATCAAGCATATGAACAAATAGGAGTTGCTATTGACCCATTTTCTTATAGTGAAGAGTCGAGCCAAATTCAACGCATCACCAATATTTACTAAAAAATAGAAATGTTTAAATTGTGTCAAGCAAAGCTCTAATTTGAGGTTAAATGTAATATAAGAATAATTTATATTAAAAATATCTTGAAATAGATACAAAATTTTTAAAGAATTGATATAATTTTGTAGATTATTTATAAATATATGATTAACTATATAGATTAATCTAAGTTTAAAATGAAGAAATTTATCATAAAGATTGATTAATGAGATATTCATAATTATAATTAAAAATAAAATTATAGATTAATTGGAGATCATATTAATAATAAATTAAGCATCAATTTTATGTGAATTTAGTTTTAATAAATATAATACTTTATTTATTAAACAAGAATATTATTTTTGTACATAAATCATTGACTAATAAGCTTTCAATTAATTATATTGTGCTAAAGATTAAAAAATTACAAAAAATGCCATAATTTAACTAAAATGGAGAAAGAAAATGACCATTTTAGGCTTCGTTTTGCCTTTTTAACTACTCAGTCCTCCCGACACTTTTCCCAAACATCAACAATGGAGTTTCCGTTCGGCCACCACCACCAACATCACCACCGTGATGACGATGACGATGAAAGAAACCGCCTTCGTCCCCAGTTCCCTCCGGCAGTTAACTTACCTGAAGTCTTCCAACCCCCTCCAGGCATCCACCACGTCTCCCATCAACCCGGCTCGGGATTCGCCCCTCCGCCACCGTTCTTCGAACCACCGCCACCGCCATTATTCGGAGTTCAGCCGGCTCCGCCGCATCGTCCTTCTCATCATGCCGATGATCCTTCACAGGACGGACGCTACGAGACGCCGTACGGGCGGGAGGAGGGACACCACCGCCCGGGATACTCCGATGATGTGAGACATCAGGGAGATGGCGAGTATTTCAAAGGGCAGCAGACGGTGAGGGTGTTCACGAAGGCGGAGGAAAATTACTCGCTCTCGATTCGTGATGGAAAGGTTATACTCACGAGGCACGACCCCCGCGATGAGTATCAGGCAAGGGTTTCAAGATCCTCTTTGGCCCTTCCTATTAGGTTTTGTGGATCGTAGAAGCCTTGTTTGCTTTATATGATTGGCCTATTTTGTCCTACTGTAGTTTCTGACGCGATCTGGTCGTCTTCCTTGTGGATTTGCTATTTTTTCCTCCCTTTGGACGATTATCTCTCATCGTCTTTCTTTTGTCCTAGAGTTTTTTTTTTTTTTGCTTATCCGATCAAATCGTGATTTTATTTCCTTGGATTTTTCTGTGATGATTTCGGTTTTCGTTCTTTTGCCGGTTGATCATGTAGGTATTTTGTTATGTACTAGTTTCTGCGGCGATCTGGTAGACTACCTTTGTCGATTTTACTTACTTTCCCCTGTTATCTACTCTATAAATGTGTTTTGGTGGACGATGATCAAACATCATGGCCCTTTTTTTTTTCTTCTTCCAACCGTTTTTGTGTTTTTATTTATTCCTCTGATGAGCTTATTTTACCGGGTTTGACTAAATTGATCTTTTGTTTGATTATATTGTTTGTCTTTCCGGCCATTTTTACTCCTCTTCTCATGCTCGTTGTGTTCAGCACTGGTTCAAAGATATGAAATACAGCACAAAAGTGAAGGACGAAGAGGGCTTCCCTGCTTTTGCTCTTGTCAACAAGGCTACTGGTCAAGCTATCAAACACTCTGTTGGAGCAACACATCCAGTAAGATTTTGTTCTTATTTTGTTAATAAGCTGATAATTGCTTACAGACCCTGTTAAATGCCAATCCAACCCAAGTTTGAGCAATATCAAAAATATAATATTTTTAACAGCTATCAGCTATTGATGGCTTATGAAAGATTCAGAAGGCTTGTACTTTGGATCCTTCTTCATCAGATCTAGTCATCTTTACCTTCGATCTTGAAGGATCAACAATTCTTTTGCTAATGAAAATAATAGATATGACTGCCAAGGTTTGTTGCAATCCTAATGGCTTTGATGTCTTATCAGTAAGGGAAATCTCTTGAGCCTTACCATACCTCCCTTCAAAACTTAGAACTTCATGCCACTTATCGTTCTTTTATCAATGCCCTAATAGAGCAAAAAGGAAACGGATCCTACCACGAGCTCATAAGTAGTTTTTATGACTAACATTTATAAGCTTTGATGATTTAAGATGATTCAAAATGTGCTAAAGACGACATATTTATTGATTTACAGATATGAATCTCTGTGACTTACAGCAAGGCACTTGCAATCCATGATATGAAATCTATACATGGTCAACTAAGGCTTCGTTTGGGACAGTTTTCATACTGCTTCCTAAAACGGATTTTTACTGTAAAATTATCTAATTCAAGAAATTTTTGTACTGGAAATCTGTTTTAGAAAGCAACAAAAAAGCTGTCACAAACGAAGCCTTAGGTCTTTCTGCTTCTTAAAGCAGCTTTCTAGTACAAAAATCTTTAATTTTTTACTTGAAAGCTGCTTTAAGAAGCAAAAAGAAAGACGTCCCATACGAAGCCTCGTTTGAGACAACTTTTTTATTGTTTTTTAAAAAAGAGTTTTAGTACAAAAATTTTATTTTTTTTACTATAACTCTGTTTGAAGAAGCAATAAAAAGGTTGTCTCAAACGAAGCCTAAATTAGGATCTCAACTTCTCATCATTCTTATTTGCATTCTTTATTTGTGTTTCTACCAGGTCCAATTGGTGCCTTACAAGCCCAATTTTCTCGATGAATCTGTCCTATGGGCTGAAAGCAGTGACTTGGGCGATGGATTTCGGTGCATAAGAATGGTCAACAACATTAGTTTAAATTTTGATGCATTCAATGGCGATGAGGATCACGGTGGAGTTCATGAAGGAACTGTAATTGTACTCTGGGAGTGGCTTAAGGGAAAGAATCAGAGGTGGAAGATTGCTCCTCACTAATGTAAGTACTTGAGTTGCTTCAGAGCTTTTATTTTATCTTAGTAGCAAGTTGAATGGTGACTTTTTATTTATTTATTTTGGTTTGTTCTGATTGCAGGAGTGTATTTGAAGGTGATTTTCTCACTGTCTGTCTTGAGGCTTTGTGTGTCCTTTTTTTTCAGTATTTGCAGAATAAGATGTGCAGTGGAGTTTGCTTCCCTGCGTTTGTATCTGGTGTGACTTTATGTTTGTTGAACAATATGCTTGTATAATAAAAATATTATTATGTTTTGGTTTGCAGAAAAAATGTTCACGAGTGCATTACACATATAGGAAAGGCGAGATGATGACTTTTTATTTGAAATCTTTGTTGAAGTGCCATTGATTTCAAAAAGTACATGCTTTTCATGTCTTTTGATGTTTTTATTTTAGTCTAATATGAACAAGAAATTGATAAATCATTTTAAAATTGTTTCTATCGGGGCGTAATTCTAAATAATTTTTTTGTAAGAGGGAAACTCTCACTCTAATTATTCTTTATACTGGGATCATTGGTATAAAGGTAAATGTTTTAATGAGATTGTAGCTATGGGTCCTTTCCTTTCTCTGTTTCCTGTTAATGAGAGCATTAAGTCTATTATTGTTAGGGGAAATTGGGCCATTCCTGATTTTCTCCCTACTGTTGTTCATGAGGCTTTCCAGGAAATTAATATTGACCCGGTTACTGATATTAACCTGTATTGGGGGAATGGTAAACAATGCAAGCACAAAGATTTTCGGGTTTTTTTCTATAAAGATTATGAGGAGGTAAATTGGTGGCAATTTGTATGGCACAAAAGAAATGTGATTAGGTACTCTTCTTTTTGTTGGATGGCCATTAAAGGTGGGCTTAAGACTGCTGACAATCTCATTAGAAAAGGCATAAATGTGGATCCCATTTGTGCTCTTTGCCACAATTATAATGAGTCGGCTTCTCACCTTTTTTTCGAATGTGACTACTGTTTCACTATTATTTCTTGCTTGATGAGGAAATTGGGCTTCTTGTTGTTGAGACCTAATCTTATGCAACTTTTTGAATATATTGCTGGGTCACAACATGGTGAAAAAGATTTTTACTATCTCCTGGTATGTTGTTTGGTATATCACATTTGGAGAGAAAGAAATGAGAGGAAATTTGGGACTTCTTCCATCTCGTCTACATCTTTAATTCATAGAATTAAAGGGGCTGTTTTGCCCAGAATTCTGCGCTGGAAAAGGAGGGAAATTTTATTGGATTGCTGTGATTTGTTGCACCTGAGTTTGCTGGTCTCTGATAGCTGTATTGCTGGATGTTTTGTGGGATCCGTCTGGAGATTCTCTTCTAATCTGGTTTTCCTGTGCTCTGATTCGTGCATTGGTGGCAGGTATGGGCGATGATGATGAATTGCCATCTT